GTCCTCTCAGGATGTCACCTTTGACGAGTCGGTCTGTTACTACCGACTTCACCCGCACGCGTCCCACCCGGTCCCTCTCGCACCTCTCTTCCTGGTACCAGTCCCCCCCCCGGTAGACCCCCTTCCCCCACAGGGTCCTGCTCCCTCAGGTGTGTCCCAGGTAGACCCACCCCCCTTGGATGAGCCAGTTGAGATCTCTTCTGACTCCTCTGACTCACCTGAGGGGGGTGACGCCGTCGCCGACGACACGGCGACCACTCGCCGCACTCCTCGCTTGGAGACCCCCCCGGGTTTCCCGCCACGGCCGTCTTCGCCGCCTCCGCAGCCTGCTGCTGTGGACTCTGGAGCTGAGACTACTGGAGCTAGGGCTGGGGGTGGTGAGTCCGGGGGTGCCCGCTCTCCTCGTCTGGCTACAACCCCCGGGTTCCCACCTCTGCCGTCTTCGCCGCCTCTGCAGCCTGCTGCTGTGGACACTGGAGCAGAGACTGAGGGTACTGAGCCTGGGGGTGCTGGGACTGAGGGTACTGAGCCTGGGGGTGCTGGGACAGAGGGTACTGAGCCTGGGGGTGCTGGGACTGAGGGTACTGGGCCTGAGGGTGCTGCGACTGAGGGTGCTGCGACTGAGGGTACTGAGCCTGCGAGTGCTGAGACCGAGGGTCCTGCCTCTGGGGGTGCTGCAAGTTCGGGTGCTGACTCTGGGGGTGCTGCGAGTCCTTCTGGTGTTGGTGTCGTCGGAGCTCCTACCGGAGGACCTGGAGCTACTGGTGCTGGAGGTACTGGAGGTACTGCTGGTGCTGGAGGTCCTGAAGGTGCTGCTGGTGCTGGAGGTCCTGGAGGTGCTGGAGGTACTGGAGGTGCTGCTGGTGCTGGAGGTCGGGGAGCTGCAGGTGCTGCTGGTCCTGGTGGAGCTGCTGGTGCTGGAGGTACTGGAGGTGCTGCTGGTGCTGGAGGTCGTGGAGCTGCTGGTGCTGGAGGTACTGGAGGTACTGCTGGTGCTGGAGGTCGTGGAGCTGCTGGAGCTGCTGGTGCTGGAGGAGCTGGAGCTGCTGGGGCTGGAGGTGCTGGAGGTGCTGGTGGTCCTGGTGGAGCTACTGGTGCTCTTCGCCACCTTCTCAGTCTTCAGCCAGGTGCTACTGGCTTCCCTGTGGCAGGTACTACTCCTCCGTTGCTGTGTCCACCGGCGGACCAGTCACAGCCGCCACTGCTACCACACTCCCCACTGCCTGCTCCTGCTCCTTACACTGCGGTGTCAGAGTCCCTGACTGAGCGTCGAGAGCCTGAGACTCGTGCTTCCACCCCTGAGCGTCGAGAGCCTGAGTCTAGCTTTGACCTTGAGCCTGAGCCTAGAGCTGTTGTCCGTGCTCGTGTTCCTCGTGTTCGTCGTCAGCGTGCTCCGGCTGTCCCCGGCACTCACGATATGACACTCCGTCCTTCCTCTGTTCCTCAGCGTGTTGTCCTACCGTTACCTCCTGCGTCCTCTTTGCCTGACGTTGCTGACCCTCCGTCTGACCTTGCTCGTGCGTCCAGTCCGACTGTTACTCGCCTTCTTGCTACGGTTGTGACGGACCCTACGTTCTCGTCTCCTGCTGCGTCTGCCCTAGTAGCTGAGCTCGTTGACTTTGCTGCTGTGTACCGCCTCGACTACCTTGCGAGTCTTGTCTCTGACCCTGTCCCTGCCTGTCCTCCGTCCGTCGGGGGTGAGACTGCTCTTGGCTGCACTGCCCTTGGCTGTGACGTTCTTGAGGACAGACAGGAGGAGTTGGAGTGCCTTGCTGCCGCTTCACCCCATCACGCGACCATGCTGCTTGCCCCTGAGGGAGACCCGGATGCACTTGACATCCCCACCCCGCGCTCCTACAGGGAGGCGATTTCGGGTGAGTACTCCTCTCAGTGGCAGACAGCCATGGACGCAGAGATGGCTTCCTGGAAGTCCACAGGCACCTACGTCGACGAGGTTCCCCCACCTGGGGCGAACATCGTCAGTGGCATGTGGATTTTCAGGGTGAAGCGGCCGCCGGGTTCTCCGCCTGCCTTCAAGGCACGTTACGTTGCTCGAGGCTTCAGTCAGCGTGAGGGGGTCGACTTCTTTCAGACCTTCTCCCCCACTCCGAAGATGACCACTCTTCGGGTGTTGCTACACATTGCAGCTCAGCGTGACTACGAGCTGCACTCCCTCGACTTCTCGACAGCTTTCTTGCAGGGTAGCCTTCACGAGGCCATCTGGTTGCGCCGTCCACAGGGCTTCACTGGGTCGTTTCCTGAGAGTACCCAGTGGAGCCTACGGCGACCAGTGTACGGCTTGCGTCAGGCGCCCCGCGAGTGGCACGACACACTGAGGACGACACTTGCGGCTCTTGGGTTTGCTCCTTCGACTGCTGACCCGTCGCTGTTTCTACGCACCGACACTACTCTGCCGCCGTTCTACATCCTCGTGTACGTCGACGACTTGGTTTTTGCTACTGCTGATACTGAGGCACTGGCCCTAGTGAAGGCGGAGCTGCAGGAGAGACACACCTGCACTGACCTGGGTGAGCTGCGGAGCTATCTTGGCTTGCAGATCACCCGGGACAGACCACGGCGCACCATCACCCTGACTCAGTCACACATGGTGCACCAGGTCCTACGGCGCTTCCGCTTCACGTACTCCTCGCCACAGCCCACTCCTCTGGCTACCGGCCACTCGCTCTCAGCTCCACCTTCGGACGAATCCGTAGAGCCGAGTGGTCCGTACCAAGAGCTTGTGGGCTGTCTCATGTACCTGATGACGTGCACACGACCTGACCTCGCGTACCCTCTCAGCCTTCTGGCTCGCTACGTGGCACCCGGCAGGCACCGAAAGGTGCACTTTGATGCTGCGAAGAGGGTGCTGCGTTACTTGTGCAGCACATCGGGCATGGGGCTCGTGCTTGGAGGACGGGGTTCGGTGGTCCTCACAGGACACTCTGACGCCTCTTGGGCCGACGACCAGGCGACTCAGCGTTCGTCACAGGGTTACACCTTCAGTCTTGGCGCTGGTTCTGTCTCGTGGAGGTCCACTCGTTCTTCTTCTGTGCTTGGTTGTAGTTGTGAGGCCGAGATCTACGCTGGGGCCATGGCTACACAGGAGCTCCGCTGGCTGACCTACCTGCTGACCGACTTGGGGGAGCGGCCTCGTTCTCCTCCAGTTCTGTACGTCGACAACAAGGCAATGCTTGCCTTGTGTCGCGAGCAGAGACTGGAGCACAGAACGAAGCACATTGCTCTGCGCTACTTCCTTGCGCGTGAGCTGCAGCAGCGTGGTCAGCTGCGCCTTGCTTTCGTGGCCTCTCGGGCCAACACTGCTGATGTCTTCACCAAGGCCCTTGGGGCTGGTGATCATCAGCGTTTCTGCACTGCTCTTGGGCTTGTGCCCACTCTGCCTCACCTGCTGGTTGCTTGACTTGCTCTTGTTGTACACTGCTACATATATCTTTATACCTGCATGTTTACTCTTGCTAGGTTGTGATCGGTGTACTGCCTTGCTATTATAAATCTGCATGTGAACTGGCCTTGTGGCCGCCTGCTTGTGCTCAGATTGTGTGGTGTCCTTGAGATCCACCCTGGGCTTTGCCTTGCTTGTTCTCTTGCTTGACTGGTCTTGTGACCACTGTTCGGTTTGGCTATCCCCTACTTCACCTATGGGGGTGTGTCAAAACATATTGTTCTGTTCTTACTCTAGGTTGTGTAGGGTCACACCTTAGAGGGTACAACCCAACTCTCTCGACACTCTTGTACTTCCTCTCCCTTACCTAATCATCATTCCTCACCTAGCTAGTGATTCTAACAGAGATGCGGCTGGAGGAGAGGAGATAGGAGGAGGAGATGCGGCTGGAGGAGAGGAGAGGAGGAGGAGATGCGGCTGGAGGAGAGGAGAGGAGGAGGAGATGCGGCTGGAGGAGAGGAGAGGAGGAGGAGAGGAAGTGCAGCGGAAGGAGGAGGAGAAGGGGGAGGCGGCTGCCTGCACATACCCGCCACCCCCACACCCTCTTCCCCCCCCTCCCAAACGCGGCACGAACTGCAGATGCACGGGCAGCGATGAGGAGGAGGATTAGGGAGGGGCAGGAGGGTTCAAGGGGGCTTAAGCACCCCCGTAGCCGCGGGCGCGAGCCTCGCCACCTCCCCCCCGCAACGTCCACCGTAGAAGAGAGCGACGGCAGGTGCGGAGGCGGGAGCGGGGTGGCGATGGCAGGGGCGCTGGCGGCCGCTGCTGGCGCTGGCGCTCGCGACCGGCGCTGGCGCATGCCGCTGGCGCTGGCGCTGATGCTGGCGCTGGCGCTGGGGACCGGCGCTGGTGCTGGCGCTGGCGCTCGCGACAGTCGCTGGCGCTGGCGCACGTCGCTGGCGCTCGCGCTGGCGTCAGCGACGGTCAGAGGCGCTGGTGCTGGCGTCCGCGACCAGCGACGGGGCGACGCGACAGCGCGCGGGACGGGGCGACCAGCGCGTGGGGCGGGTAGCACGGGGCGTTCAGCGCGGGGCAGGCAACGGGCGAGCGCCTCGAAGGGCGCAGCAACGGTCGCCATGGCAACGATGGCAGCCATGGCGAATGAAAAATAACAAGGTCCTTAGAAGGACCCAGCTCTTAATACCATGTTGAGATAAGAACTTGGGAGATTAGGAGCTTGGAGGGAGAGTAGCATAGTGAGATGGTTATCGAGGGAGTTTAGGTTGGCCAAAAGAGTAGTTTCACTATGGAATGAATACAAGATATAGGAATGGGCAAAAGGGAGGGTACACCACCAGCAGTTGATGCTAATACCTAAACTAGTACACTAGCTAGCTGTAGGCAGTTATAAGATATGCAATATAATTCAACAATTTCATCCAAGCATCCATCCCTTCACCCCCAACATGCCCTACCCAGAAAGTGCCAATTGTTTCCCTCAATGCGCCCACCATCCCATGTGGGAACAAGGCAGCCGCTAGGAGCATGATACAAGGCAGCAAGGCGCGCCATACATAGCAATTGCAGCCACACGCACACTCTACGCACCCACTGACGCCAACGGCTGAGTCTGGAAGTCATTGTCAAGGCCCTTTCGGTGCGGAGGACCTGCTACTAGATTCACCTGCACACAGTAACAGCCGAGAGGCGGGGGGAGGTAGTAGGGGGAAGGGAGGGGACAAGGCCATGGATGAGCGAAGCATGTGCGATCTTGCCAACCGAGGAGCATATGGCATGCATGCAGAAGCAGGGCAAGGGGCGCAAGGGCAGGGGCGCACCTTGACAATGTCTGAGGGGGAGTTGGGCTGGCTGTAGGCCACGAGCACCGAGAGATGGAAGTCCTGCATGCAGCAACAATGGGGGTACGGAAGTGCAGTCAAGAGAAACGCAATGATTGCAAATGTTCTCGCAGAGGAATCACCAGGGCAGTCCAGACGACACTACTGATTTACCAGAGACCGAAAACGAGAGGAAGCGAGGCTTAGGAAACTCTGAGGGTGTAAGGTGAGCATATTGGGTGAGTGTGGGGCGTGCAGTGCTGGAAGTAGACTCAGGGAAGAGGGGGGGCTAGAGTGAACGAGGGCAGGCAGCAGGGAGTGAGGGAGTCATGGGGCACAGGGGGAGTAGTACCCTGAAGGGGTCTCCTCGCAGAGATTGCACGTAGAGGGAGCTCTTGCCGCCCTTGCCCTGGCACACAGGCACACAGGCACACATAAGCGGCAGGGGCAATGGCAGAGGCGGAAAGCGGTTGCGAATAGAGATGAGAGAGAGGGAGGGGGAATGGTGGGGTGATGGAAGGGATGCAATGCGAGGAACATAAACAAGAGTAGGAAGGAGTTACGAGGCTGCAAACGCATGCAAATGCAGCATGCTACACCAGAACCACTCAATGCACCGTCACAACCCAACATACGCAACCCCACTATCCCCACAGCACACCCCCAGTCCCTGCCCCTCACCTCCAGGGGTATGTCGCGGAGGCGGCGGCCGGTTTTAGCGCAGCAGATGCGCACCACGTTCTCCTCACAGCTGCCTGATACAATGTAGTCGCGGCCGTTCATGTAGTAGGACCGCGTGTAGTTGTGCGCACTGCCCAGCGGCGCTATCTCAAACCGCTGCTGCAGCCGCCCGTCCACTGCTATGTGCTGCCGCACCTGATAACGCCGACAAGGCGGAGGTAAGAGAACGGAGGAGTTGGAGGGAGGGGAAGGGAGGGGGGGTGTGGGACAGTTGGGGAGTGTGTGCTGCGAAAGAAAGTCTGGGCTGATATTAGGGGGCTTTGTATTAACAGAGCAAACTGTCATCCATGTCATGTCCATGTGGCGCACGCTCACCTCATTGTCAACAGCAGAGGACAACAGGAACTGGTCGTCCGGGCTGAAGCACACCATCACATTGCCCCGATCACTCCGCACAGAGTAAATCGGCCGCACGCTCTCCCGCCCCTGCGCAAACAGCCCCCCGAACCCGCCCCCAGACGAGGACGAGATGCGCTGGCGCGCGTCCCAGAGCTTGACGTGGCGGTCGAAGGAGGAGGTGGCGAAGACGTGCGGCGAGTGGTGCGCGAACTTGAGCACGTTGATGTGCTCGCGGTGCAGGTTGTGCAGCGTGTGCAGCCGCCGCCCCGTGTGCAGGTCGTACAGCCCCACGTGGTTCGAGTACCTGGCAACAAGCGAGAAAACAAGGGGGTAAGGGGGAGTGGGAGGGAAGTGATGATAAGATGGAGAGGAGAAGGGTATGGAGAGCGAGTGGTCTTGCACGCAAAGCGGAGAGGGAGTGTAGGGAAAGCGTGGCAGCACGGCAGCAAGGTAACACGTACCCGCTAGCGAGGAAGAGGTCATCAGTGCAGTTGACGTGCACGGACGTGAGCTGCTCAAACTCGTCATATGTGTGGATGGCCGGGTGCCGCATCCGTGCAGGAGTCACAGGAGAGCCTCCACTCGCAGACCCACCAAGGCCAAGCGGACTGTCTGACACCAGCCGTCCTGCACGCCCTGCACCTGCTGCTGGCGCTGCCAACACAGCTGGAGGGGTCGTCATGTCCGCCGGTGCCACTGCTGCTGCTGCTGCTGCGGCGGCAGCGGCGGTACCCCGCCCTCCGCTGCCAGTTAGCACACCCGCACTGCCGCCACCCACGCTGCTGCCATTGCTGCTGCCTGTGCCGCTGCTGCTGGCGCCGCTGGTGCTGGCTGCGGCGGCAGCGGAACGGCCGATGGCAGCAACAAGGCAGGCGCGCATGCGCTCTACGTCGTACAGCTGGATGGACCCGTTGTCACACCCTCCTATCAGCTGCACCCACACACACGCGGAGGGAGGCGGGGAGAGGAGACAGGCAAGAGGGAGGGGAGGAGGGGGAGGGGGGGTGAAGGCGGGTGAAGGGCAGGCAGGTGGAGCGAGAATGAGTGAGAACTTCACTGCAGGAACATGGCCACTCCCAAAGCATGGCGAAGGCACGAAACACAGACACAGCTCACAGCAGCGAGGCGAGCAGCAGGAGCAGCAGGGCGGGAGAGGACGTACCCTATTGGGATGTTTGTTGAGCCAGCAGAGGCCAAGAATAGAGTGTGGGGCACCAACGGACTGCACATGGCCCACGAGGCGGTCCGACTCGTGGTTGAGCACCACCACGTCCCCGTGCAGCGTGCCAAACACCAATAGATGCGCCTCCGTTGGGTGGTACTCGAACTGCCGCGGCCGCAGGCTCGACGACCTGGTGTGAGCGGATGGGGCGTGTGGGGGATGGAGAGTGGGAAGGAACGGGTGGTTGACGAGACGGGTGGGGGGCGAATAGGAGGGGTGGACGATGAGGGGAATGATTGGGAGACGGAAGACGGACGAGGAATTGATAGTGCAGATTGGTGAACGGGGGTGAACGGGGTATAGGTGCAAAGACGTAGGGAGAAGGATAGATTCAGTCAAAGCGGGTTAATCTGGAAGCACCGAGAGAAGCACCATCCCAAACACATGCCCTGTCTACCTCTACGCGCCCCTTCCACTGTCCCTTTACCGCACCTCACCATCCCACAGCTCACATCGTCCTGGGAGCATCCAGCCCGGCGTTGCGCAGAGGGCAGGTCATGGGGCGGCTGGCGGGCCAGCTGCTACAGCCCACTCGGTTGGCGCCCAGCGCGCGCCTGTAGCCCTCCATGCTGCCGCCCTTGGCTCCGGCTGTAGCACGCCACAGATGCGCAGAGGAGGGCTCTGGTGGAGCAGGGTGGAGGAGCAGGGCGCAGGGAATGGGAAAACGCGTGAGAAGGATGGTTTCCAGGAATAGATTTAAGGGGGGTCCAAAAGCGGTTCAAGAGGAGTCAACTAACCTGGGTCCTGCTCTTCCACAGGTGCCTTGCCCTTCCCGCCAACATCATAATCATCACCACCGTCATCCTTATCACCATCGTCGCCATCACCACTTTCTTTGCCCTCGCTATCATGCAATGTATACTCCATGTCAGTCTGCCCCACTCGCTCGCTGTCACCACCATTCACCCTCCCTTGCTGCCTTTGCTGCCCTCCCACCGGCTCCTCCGTTGCTGCATCTCCAGTAGCCCCATCGCTGCTGCCTGTCGCGCAGCCAGAGGATGCTGCATAAGATGCAAGGACAGGTGTGGTGGCAGCAGCAGCAACAGCAGCACCAGCGACAGAAGTACCAGGGACAGCACCAACCGGAGGCGAATTCTCCTTGGAAACGCTTTGCTGGCTGGGAAGTGGGCGGGCAGCAACAGAGGCGAGTGCTCTCAGCGGAGCACGGATCTCTCTGCGCCTCAGCAGGTGCACGACATTGCCAACACTACCCAGCCCGTACGGCAGGGGCTCAAAGCTGCTCTCGCACTCGCCCTCCGACTGTGCGCGTTCGCCTTCCCTCACCGCCATGTTATCTAGAACGTCGAGATGCGGCAGGGACGACAGCACAAACGCGCGGTAGTGCGGCACGTGGCAGATGGGCGACGAGTGGTGCAGGAAACGGGACGCTGCGGCATATGGGCCTTCCAACGCGTGGTAGTCACTGCGTGCAGCACCACCATCACCAGCAGCGCCAGCACGAGCCGCACGAGCAGCACCTGTGCGTTGATCGTTGGCAGCAGTAGCACCAGTTTCCCTGCCCCGGAGACGCCTCGGTGCATCACCCATGAGATAGCTTATCAAGTCCAGTTCTCGTGCTGTGAGCCCTCCAGGCATACCTCCTCCAGCCCCACCCAGACCTGCTGGGTCCGCCCTGGCGGCTGCTGCTGTCCCTGCTGTCTGTTCCCCTGCTCCGCGTGCTGCTGCTGTTCGCACCACCCGATGCTCGGCCAACACACCAGTGCCTTGGGCGTCCACTGTACCCGGCAGAGCAGCAGCACTGCGGCCAGCAAGAACGGGACGAAACAGAGGTTGACGCTGGTGAAGGGGACCGCGACGCATGCGAGGTGAAGGGCCCAAAGGGAATGCTCTGGGGACAAGACGCTCAGTGTCCACGCCTGGTGCACCACCATTATTCCCCGCAGCTGTTGCTTCTGCTGCGTCCTGCTGCTCCCCACCTCCCTGCCTAAGTCCCCTCGGTTCACGAGACAGAACCTGCTGCCATGGCATGCCCGCGTGACGAAACTCACCCTCCCTGCGCTCTCTCTCTTCCTCGTCCTCGTCGCTATCCTCCTCTTCCTCTGGACGCTCATCACTCGCCTCCCCGTCAAACATCTCCTCCTCCTCCTCGCCCTCCGCGTTCCTCAAGTCCTCATCGCCAACCACACCCAGCTCTTCATCCCCCGGCCCACCGAACCCCATGCCTACTTGCTCTGCGGCAAACGCCAAGTCCAGCGCATCATCTAGAGCGCCCTCCGCCTGCCCCTGCGCTTCCCACTCGCGCATGACCTCATCCATCTCCATGCCCTCCCGCACCAAGTTCTCCAGGTTCCCCTGTTCCTCGCCCAACCACGCCCGTATTTCCACCACGTCCCCATCCCCCTGACCAACACCAGCATCAGCATCATCAGCACCACCAGCACCAGCATCTGCTCTTGCCACCTCCCTCCGCGCGCCCTCGCCTGCGTCCGCGGCATCGCCAGCCAGCCCCGCTGCCAGCTCTGCGCACGCGGACGTGTCGCCGCGGCAGCACATGCAGCGCTGGAAGCGGAGCTGCGTCAAGAGCGGGAGCTTCCCCAGCGCGGCGATGGTGGTCCAGAGGTTCGAGATGCCCGTGGCGCAGAGGGAGAGCGACGTGAGCGACGGCGCGTTGGAGAAGCAGCCGTCGGGGAGGCACGTGATGGCGGGGTTGTGGTCCAGCACGACGGATTGCAGGCGCGGAAATGCGCCCACGAAGTCGAGCTTGCGCACGCGGCAGAAGGAGAAGCACAGGCTCCGCGCGTTCAGCCCGCGCTGGAACAGATCTCTGCAGGGCGAGTGAGGGAGGGAGGGCGGCGGAAGGAAGCAGTGGCAATTCAAGGGCTGCACGCTGCAAGGGTCAAAGCTTCCAATGCGTGGAGACGCGTGGTGCTGCAGTTGCGAACGACAAACGTACGTGCGCGCAGAATAAGGCTGGTGCGTAGCACCTGAAGGCCTCGCGGCCGAGCGGGATGTTGGAGAGGTTGGCGTGCTGCAGGTGCGGCCCCACGGCGCGAAGCAGGAAGAGAATGCCGTGGCCGCTCACAGTAGGCACCGCGTCCGCGCTGCTGACGTCCACGATATGCAGCTCCGGACACGCCGTCGCCAGGAACTCGCCCAGCGTCACCGCGACCGCGTCCGACAGGTGCGCGAGTGGCAGCTCCACCGCTAACTGCGGCGACCCGTCCTCTGATATGCGGTGCGAGGGCTGCGCGGTAGGCGGAATGGTGAGACGGGAAACAGGGAGGAGTTTCACGGAACAACGGTTGGGAAGGGGTGGTTAAGAATGAGGAATGTTGTGGGGAGGAAGCCAGTTGGAGAAGATCAGGATGAGGCGATAAATAGGCGGGGTAAGTGGGACTTACTGACGCCAGGGCGCTGAGGATGTCGGGCGGTGGGTTGATACCGAACGATGAGCAGCATTGAGCGTATCTGCGTGTGGACGGCAGGCCATGAGTCAGTACGACGGAAACACGCACACACGAGGACCTGTGCAGGGATGCGGGAACACACCCTAATAACTACTATTAACCTCGCAGATGAAAAGTAACGCTAAGGAGGGCCTATACACGGGCTCACCTTTTGTCAAAGTCTAATTCAGGCGCCCTTCTCTCCTTCAGCAGCGAGCGTGCTTTTTCTTCCATTTCCGGTGACCGTCAGGTCCCTCTCGCCTCCTTCGTAGGCGTTCCTCAACCGACAGGACGGAAGCAGCCAGAGGAGGGGAGGTGAGGAGCACGGCCCGCACACTGTTGAATCGCAGCTGCTGGTGTGAGCCAGTGATCAGAATAGGCGAGGGGAGACGCAGTGAGACTCGTCTGAGACTTGGCCAGGACACGTGGAGCAAACGAATGCCGAACATAAAACGAAAACGGAGGAGAGCACTCAGAATGGCGACCGGATGCGGCAACGAAGGGAGCATGGTATGACATCCCATACGAACGAAAACATTTATGATGCGACAACGGAACCACTAGAATGAGGTCTGGCCACACGACTAACACACGACGGACACACGACGGACACGCGGCATTGCCAATGAGACTCGCTATCCAGGCCCTCCGGGTTTTGTAGGAATCGGTCCGGCAAGCATCATACCTGATTTGAATCTCCTGAAAGCTCGAAGATCAGACGAACAGAGCTTGGATAGAGGAATCCTCTAAAGTCGAGTGGATAGTCCTATAATTTCGCCGCGAAGAGAACCATTTCGACAACGACCCGCAGCCGTGATAGGGACGTCGTAACGCGTAAACGCTGGAAGGAATACCTAATTCCTTCAGGACTCGCGTACGTCGGCGGTTGCTGAATTTCAGGTGGGTCTTCCTTCTTCACGCAATAGTATAAACGCTTCAGCACGGAGGCTTAGGCACAGGCTCCCAGACACGGTTGAAAATACCGACGAGGAGGCGGCGAGCAATAAGATTAGTGAGCCTTCGCAAGGCTACTGTGTCGGCGGGACCGTGAGGCACGGAGCGGTGAGTGACGGGACTGGTGCTCGTGAAAGGCCGAGGATGAGGATTCGGGTTCGGGCCAGTCCCCCGAAAATCGTGCGACTCCTGAAAGGAAATAGGTCTCCCTGAAAATAGCTGGGGATATCCACCCACCACGGTGAGGTGGAACTATCTAAGTGAATCAGAGGGCGAGGGACGAGCTTCAGCTAGGGTCCCTTGAAGTAACCAGAACTAGCGAGCCCTTGGGATAAGATGGAGAGGTTGCGGTGAGGGCAGGGGAGGGGACGCACCTCGGGATGATGGTGAGGTGCTGACGGTTCCCAGGGAAAACTTTTGGCGCACATATCCTTGCGGTTGTCGTGGCGGACAGAAGCAGCAAACTGCTCTGGTTGGTGCGAAGGCGCTGGGGAAAAACGTGCACCAATCATTTTAGCGGAAACCTCGTTCGCCGTCAAGATGTCAGTAAATGACGGGCGAAAACATCGGATTGGACGGGCAATTGGGTTTCACGGTCAGCCCCTCAGCAAACCCATCAACCCTGGATGGATGAAGAGGGCATGGGCAAGATTGGCCCGACATCGTAGGCAGTGGATTATGGAGTGGAGCCTACATGTGCATATCGTTTTCCACATGGATAAATGTGTGGGTTGACACAGATTGTGAAAACAAAATATGGAAGGAACTAAATTATGAGAGCAGCATGTACATTGCCACCTATTTCACCACTTGGTGTGGAAATAATGGCTTGGCTGACTAACTACAAATCCTTGGAGCCTCTCCCCTTCAGAACAAACTTGCGTAGTCCTGGGATGTGAACGTTGCACATGTAGTTGTGCCAGTTAATATTGCGCACATTGAAGTCAAACTTTTGCTGCTCGTCCAATGACATCCTTGCAAAGAGATCTTCAGTGTTGCTGGAGTCGAACCTGCACGTGCAAGGAGCCACGTTACATCCTATGCTGGTATGGTATGATTTGAGCATGTATTTGTAATCGAAACAACAACTCACTGTGCCTCGTAAAAGGTGTATGGCGAGTATATCTTGGCGAAGTGCATGAGTGACTCAATCGTTTTCATCATAATCATAGTCCGACGCGCAGTTGATGCTCCCTTCGGAAAGAGCTTCATCAGCTGCACATCCCATAGGTAAGATGCAAACAGAAAATACACGTGAAAAGGGGAACAAAGAATCATGCAAGAGGAGTGGAAAGCAAATTGATGTGGAAACCGAGGGGGGGGGAGACGGAAACCATTACCAGCATGGGAAGTTGGTATCGGATCCAGAGGTCCAGAAGGAACAGCATGGGGAATTTGAAGACTCTAGCCGGGGCGACAGAAATGGGGGAGCCATCCTTCTGCTTCATGGGCTTGGCAGCAAAATGATCCGTGGCAGCATCGGCAATGGTCTTCACATGCAGTGGGTTAGCCACGGAGGTTGTCACGTGGTACACACGAGGCAGGCAGTAGCCAGAGGCAGAAGCAGTGGTGGTGGCGGTGGTGCTGAAGGTGGGGCCACGGGGTGCCTGTGGGGGCAGCTTGGCATTGTCGGCAGCGACGGCCAAGATGGCATTCACGACGAAGTCCACCGGGATCTGAGGGCGTGTGAAGAGACAGGACAGCAGGCAGGTTCAGCAAAATACAGATGTGCCAGGAACTGTGGGAACGGAAGCGAAACACGTGTGTGAGAGGTGGAAGGACCAGAGAAGAGGCCATGCATGAGTGAGTGGGTAATGTGTGTGAGTGGTACTGAGTACTCACAATGTCAGCCACCCCATCGGCGAGAAAGCCGGCCATGGCACCCTTGCCGTATGCCATGAGGATGGGGTCCGCCATGCTGCCATGCGGCGGGGAGGGCATGCACGCAAAGAACGCATGGGACACATGTTAAGAGCTCGGACAGCAAAAGAGAAAAATAGCATGAGAAGAGATAGCAAACAGGCAGGAAGCATGGCAAAGGGAGATCGGCGCGAGACACAGCTGTGCATGCATGCACTCACCGCATGCCCTCCATCCACCCTGCCATGGGCTCACACAACGCACTCTCCACGATGCTAGGCCGCACCACCACCACTGGCACCACCCCTGCGTCCCCTTCCTGCTCCTCTCCCCCCTGCGCTCCCCCGCGCTGCTCCCCCAGTGTCATCTCCCCCATGGCCTTGGACAGCACGTACGCGTCCTGCCACCCAAACACCTGCGCCCTGGTGGGGGAAAAAGCAGGCGCACAGAGCAGAATGCAGAAGAGCATAAGCGTGAGAGTCACGAAACAAAACCAGCGTGAAATTCACGAGCCACCCCCATGAATTATTCTCTCCCGGCCTGTGCCACCCAGGCATGTGGCACCCTTGTCTGCACCGCCCATGAGCACCCACCTGGCGCGGCCCAGTGCGGACATGTGTGCATTGACAGCCGCCACCACCTCGTCCTTGCCCGCGCCCCTCGCCACTGCTGCCGCCTCCACCTCCGCACGCTCCTTGTGCGCAAACGCCACCTCCCCGTCCACGTCGAGAGCGGGAATGCCTGCCGCTGCAGCAGCGGCAGCGGCGGCAGCAGGGGAGTGGGCGGCCTGTGCGAGCATCTCCGCTGCGATGGTGTCCCCGGGTGTGAAGGGGCGCTCCATGGCCTGCCCCTTGCGCTTGCCGTTCACATACGCTGAGATGGATGGTATGCGTGGTGGAATGAAGACGTGAGGGATGCAGGGAGGGGAGGAACAGGGGTGGTTGGAGGAGGAAGATTAGGAAGGGTGCAGCCAAGTGTAGCAGGTGAATATGGCAGTAGAAAAGAAAGCATGTGTACAATAACCCGTGCCTTGCGTGTTGCGGAGGCTCACCCGTGGAGACATGCAGCAGAAGCTGCAGGTGGCGGCACTGCTTGGCGAAGGCCAGCAGTCGGCGTGGGCCCAGCGTGTTGATGTTCAACGCCACGTCGTACCTGCCACACACGCAGGCACACAACATCCATCACCACACACACAAACACTCATGTACCATGGGAAGACAAAACCACAAGCACCATTCACCAGGAATTATCCTCAGATCCCTGAGAATCCTGTATTTCAGGTCAAAGGCCGTGGGGTGTGGGTCGTACCGGGCGTCAAAGTCAGTGGTGGCGGCGGAGTTGATGATAAGATCCACTTTATCCGCGAGAGCAGCACTGGTGACAGTACTGAGCCCCAGGTTCTCCTCGCCTATGTTGCCGTCCACAGCTGTCAGCTTGCTGCCCATGAACGCCTCGTAGCCCTCGCCGTACCGCTGCTTCAGATGCCCAAAGATGGCCGATGGGATCACCTGCGCACCACCACACGGGTACCCACGCCATACGGGTCAGATGCAGCACTAGAACAAGGGTAGGCAGAATCGAGCGTCTAGACAAATGTCAGGATGCATGCAGTGGAGACGTGTGCAGGTGGGGAGGAGCAGCGTGCAGGGCCAGTTGCTGCACCCGGGAGGTGAGGCGCTGGTGCGCAGTGGTGTCCCCCCTGGGCTGGATGAGCAGGTACAGCTGCCCCACATCCGGCTGCTCTCGCAGTATCTTCTCCACCAGGGCTGCGAGAGGGAGGAGAGGGAGGGAGGATGGGTGGGAGATGAGTGGGGAAAACGAGAAGTTGGAATTAATCCAGCAAGAGCGTATGTATGTGTGTATGTGGATAAAGGTGTACCTTTAGCAAGGAAGCCAGTGGCGCCGGTGATGAGAATGTTCTTGCCCTTGAGGAATGGAATGATGCCCAGCCCTTGCTGCTCGCCGCCCACGCCCTGCTGCTGCTTCGTCTCCACAGCCGCCCTCGCTGCAGCAGCAGGTGCAGCAGTAGCGCTGCTGCCATCAACCGTTGGTGCAGCGAGAGGGGCAGAAGAAGCCGAGATGGATGAAGCAGGACCGCGACGCATGCTGCTGCTGTTGCCGCCGCTGATGTTGTTGCTGCTGTCGTTGCCATCCAGCCCACCAGTGCGTCCTGCAGCATCGCTGTCACCAGCAGAAGCAGCTTCAAGTTTAGACAGGGACGACTGCTCGATCACAGAGTTGGGCGCCACTGCGGTTGACTTGCTTGACTTGCCGTTGACCAGCGCTGCTTTCACAACCGCAGCAGTGGCTGTAGCAGCGGCGGCAGTGGTTGTAGCAGCGTCTGCCATGCCAGCGGCACCAGAGCCGCTGTCAAGGCGGAGGAGAGGCAACCTGTCGGCAGCGGCAGCAGCGGCGTCCACGCGCAGTGCTGCAATCTCGGGCAGGAGTGCCGCTGCGTCCAGCACGGCTGCTGCCAGCCCCCGGCTGTCACTGTCGCTCGCCCCGTCGCCGTTCGCCAGCCGCCCAATCAGCGCGGACCACGCCAGGTCCTCATCCCGCACCAGGTAGCTACTACCGCCGGTGATAGCAGCAGAGTTCCCCCGAGAAGTGCGACTCTCTTTCACGACCTTCTTGCGATAAGCACTGGAAACCGCGTCTTCGACTTGGCTGTCCATGGGCGCTGCAGCAGGCGTGGCCGCGCTGTGCGGAGTGGTGCTGCTGCTGCTAGCCGGGAGGTGCACCCCCTGGTGGTGGTCGCGGTGGTGCCCTTGATTCGCCGAGAAGAACTCCCGTGCGGCGCGCTTCAGGCTGTCACTCGCTCCGCCGCTTCCGCCTCCACCCCCCACAGGCCCTCCCGGCGGTGGGGACGGCGCCGCCTCGCAGCGAGTCGGACCAAGTCGCAGGCCGCCGCATTTCACGCTGGAAAGGGACGAAGCAGGAGTAATATTGCTCCCGAAGAGGGTGACTGCCGCTGCGCTGTGCCTTGCTGTCAGTACGGATGACGAGATTCCGACCTGCCGTTTCCGTAGCGCGAGCGTACTGTTAAGAACGTGCGGGTTTGTCGCGGGGATGGAAGACGACGAGATGGAGGCTGCACAGGAGCTGGACGAAGCCATGGCGTCGCAATGAATGTTTGGTGGCACTTTTAAAATATAATAAAACAATTGAATGCGTGGGATGAGGCGCGACAGCTCCCGCGAGAAAATCTTAAGCCTCTGAGTGGGCCGTTGAGTGCCCCCCCCGTGCAAGTGCTACAAGAACTGCTTGAAGTACGAGTAGTCGTTTGCCGAGGAGACACAAGATATGGCGGATGGGAAAGTGTGTTGGAAGAGGGGCAATTTATGGAGGGGTGGGTTGAGTTGAGTTGAGAATGATTTGACGGGGCTGGTGATCACAATGTTGGGGGGCATCCCAATGCGCGATTCGAACCGAGGCGTGAGAGCGACTGGGTTTCCATTTGCTAGACGGCGAGGTTCGTCACGATCAAGCGACGTTCCAGCGAATTCTGCGAAGGCTGTTCCAGACTGGAATGAAACGAAACTGGTTTGAACCAGATTCGTTTCGAGGCTGCCCGAGCGAGTCAACGACATTTCGCTGACTGGAACAAACAAAGTGCCCCCAATCGACGGAAAACTAACGGAGTTCACGATGAAAGCACACGTGATGTTTTCTTCATCGGGGCACGTCCAGGCGGGTTGTGCGAGAATTTCGTTTGTCTAGTGCTGTACACAAAAGAAATGGTAGGCATGACAAGTCAAACGAGCCAATCACACCACGGACCTGTAAATTTGACGTGACGTTCAGCACTTCGAAAAACAACGCCCCACACGCGATATCGTACGGTCCAAGTTGGACAGTCCACTCCAGTGGGGTGATGTGACGGCAATCTTTCGCCGTGTTACTGCCCAAGTTCCGTTACGAAAGGTACAGAATGTTGATCGTTTTAGTGTGCACTGCCTCTTCGCAAAACAATCAAGAGTAGAAGCACATACAGTACATTCTCATTCAAAAGCATAACGCACAAGAATATCCACAAAAAGGTACACTGCAGGTTAAGTACATATGAACAATGAATGGGATGGAAATCGGAACTACAGTCGAGCGGAGATGTGTAAATGGTGGATGTGAGTTGGCAGCGAGAGACAAGGCTAATGGGAAGGTGGTGCGAGAGTGGAGAGTGCAGGCGGTTGTAGGGTGGAAAATGGGTGAAAAGGTAGTGGACGTGATGGTAGCGGATGTGATGGTGGCGATTCGAATGGTGGAAGGCAATGGCGCTGGGTGGAAGGCGATGGCGCTGGGCGGAAGAGATGTCAACCTGTACATCCATGCGTTAAGCCTCTTCGTATACTGCTTCACTTGCAACCTTCATGGGCACATGAAGCCCAAATGACACACGGTGCTTGAAACAGGCAGGTGAGTCAGATGAGAGCATGGCAAGCCACATCACTGGTTGGCTCTGTTCTTGATGACCACGAGCACCACAACCACCACCAGGCTCACCACCACAGTCATGAGCCCCGCAAGACCAGACGCACTGCTGCCACCACCTGCACCCGTGGCGCTGCCACCAGCAGCACCAGCATCCGCAACCCCTCCAGTACTGCCTGCTGCAGAAGTGGATGAAAGTGACGCAGGCAGGAAGGCGGTCCCAAGGAGGTCTGAGATGGCATCAACCACAGAGCGCATCTTACCCAGCGCGAAAGAGAAGTACTCCCACAGGGGAACGCTGCTCCCCATAGTGTTACCTCCACGCGCATTGTTTGCAGGCTGGGGGGGTTGGTGCTGCTGCCCGGGGACAGGGTGTTCTGTCACTTCAGTGATGCTGTTGACGCCTGGTATTAAGGGGAGAGGAGGACGACAGGGTAAGGAACGAGGTTAGGCGCCATGAAGTATGCGAGATTCGGGAAGGAAGAAAAGGCAAACTAATGAAGATGGAACAGGAGCAGCAGAATTGCAGGAGTGAGAGGGGAGGTGAGTGCGGGAAAGGAAGGTGGGAGGAGGGATGGGAAAACAGCACAGCGGCATGCCAACCGTGTCTGCTCAAGTCCCAAGTTCATGCTGTCAGTACGAGGAATGCGGGCGTGCTCACCGGGCATGTGCACGCCGCCTCGGCTGCGGATGAACTCCTGCATCACAGGGTCGTTCACGATCGCCATGAACACCCCCGGACTCGACGCCAGACTGCGCACCGTCTGCGCCACACGCGGAAAGGGGGGGAGGGGTGGGTGTGGGGAGGGGGGAGGGGGAGGGGAAGAAAGAAAAAGCGAGGGATTAGAGGTGGGGGGGCGGATAGGGTGGGGTGAGTGAAGCCGTGAACGAGGAAAACGAAGGATGATAGCCGAAACTGCTAGACTGCCGCTCGACGAAGGAGCGCTGGCGCAAGCGCGAGCACAGGCACTCGGCCTCGCGGCGAGAATGGCGCATGAGAGCTTGCGTGCGAGGAGAAGCCACTTACCGCCACGGCCTCCCGATCCGCCTCCACTTGCGCGAGCAGCATGGCGATGGGGTTCTGCTGGTACTGCTGAATCTGCTGCTGGTATTGCTGCTGGTACTGCTGCTGGTGCGCCTGGTTTCCCCCGCGCTGCTGCATGCGCGCCGTCACTCCCTGCGTCACAGCAAGCGCTCCACCCGCAATGTGCTGCCACGCCGCGTCAGACGCCGACGCGCGAGCCACCTGCAGCGCGCGCTCCGATGCCGCCATGGACGCAGCGGCGTCGTCGCCCATACTGTTCCACGCGGTGGCGCTCTTACTCCCCCATTCGCTCCCCCAGTCGCTCTCCCACGTGCTCTCCGCCATGCTCTCCTCCTCCCCGGCACGACTCGCGGAAGCACCCGCAACACCAGCGGAAAGACTCGCGCGCGCGGTACCACCGGTAGCAGCGGGGCTGGCAAGCGAAGAGTGCGACGGGCGCGGCGGCGCCATCATGGTGGAAACCACCTCCGCCAACGCGGCGTCCGTCTCTTCCCTGCTGGGAGGCGCAAGAGAAATCACGCGCGCGCTCGCCCGCTGCCTCGCCGCTCGCGCTGACCCCGCGACGGAGGCGCTGGCGGATTCCGCGGGTTGCGGAAAGGCGGGGAGAGTGGGGGAAGCGGGCTTCGGGATTTCCTCCCAGCTGCCGTCGAGCGGACGGAGGGAGCCATTGTAGCCGAACGGAACAGATGCGTCGCTCTGATTGCACAGTCATGGTGGACGGGGGGGGCAGTAGACGCAGGAGAAAAAAGGAATAATTCAACGCAACTTTCGCGCAGTTGCAAAAACATCTCGGCGATTCGGGAAGGGAATAGTAGACACGGGAGCGACAAATTCTTTGTTAATGCAACTCTGGATAATGCATTGAAACAAATTTGGCGATGACAACTAACTATGACAAAAAAATCAAGATGTGGTAACAGCAAGAAAGCGATAACACGAGCTCGTGCCTGGAGTGCTGGCTCCGCAAATGCGGTGCCCAGCCCTACGCCAGACGCGGTAGCAGCGGCGGTGGTCGCGGCAGCGGAGGCTGTGGCCTTGGTGGCAACGCGTGTGGCGGTACGGAACATGGCTGCGAACGGACCGACGGATGAATGCCAACCCACACGAATGGATCTCGGTTGGCTACTGGTTTATGCAGCCTGAACAAGGATGTTTCGCACACCAAGCAAGCTCGGTGCGGCAGTGCAGCACGAATGTGTTTCCGTGCCCTTGCACGGCAAGGAGTGGCACAACTCCCCTCTCTCCCTGCTGGATGGAAAGGAAGCAGTGGGAACCGTGAAGATGACCGAGCTCACACCATCCAGCCTGGACCAACCGAGCTAAACCAGACCAAGCTAAACCAAACCAAACCAAACCAGCTGCCCGCCGTGCAGAACCAAGGCCTTCTCGCTGGAACGAGCAACCGCAACCACCAATGAAAAGTAGGGATCCATGTCACCATGCACGCCTTTCAGTGCTGCGCAGCCAATGAGTTCACACACCCACCTCGGAGGTAAGAATACTCGCCAGGAATTATGTGCGCTACAATGATTAAGTTCCTTAATAATTCATGCCTTATATGACCGAATAAAGTGAATTTAATTATACAACAAACATGGTCTTATAACATCAACACAATTTCTGGTTTTTTATAGCAAACTCATAGGACGTATTATAGTGTAACTTACATTAGATTTTGTTGCAAAACACATGAAGAGACCTTAGGAAACTAAGAGCGTATTCCTATCCTCGTATCAAGAGAACCTCATATCAACCTCCCACTGAAAATTCCCCTAAACCCAAAACCTCTCGCTAGTTTTACCAGGCAAAAGGTACAATCTTGATATGAGGTTCTCTTGATACGAGGATAGGAATACGCTCTAAGAGATGATCAAACTATACATTGTATATGTTTTAATTTCGGACTTGATGGGTTGCCATCATAAATATAGGGAAGGTGTATTAGTGTGCATCATCAATCAGTGGATGCTGACTGGAACCCTTCGAATACGAGCCGCAGGTGGATCATCGTTATAGAGCAGCTTCTTCGGAAACAGTTTCCAAACTGGTGCTACGCAGCAGTGAGCAGCTTTTGCGAGGTAGGTGGAGCGCGTGCTTGCAGCTAATGTAGAAAACTCAAGGGGAAATACGAATCGCTAGGGTTATCTTGCTGTCTACCCGTTGTTGAGGTTGTGGGTTTGTTGTGGTAAAATCCACGACATTTATAAACTTTTCGGCCAATGTTTCATCTGCCAAACCTTGCCCCACCATCTTGAGTACTCTCACCCACTCCATCGATACTGACCGAGCTTCTTCAACCGAACCACAAAAAACAAAAGTGTTTAACCCCTTTGCAAGCAGTCTTGCCAGGGCCACCACTTGTGTCCAATATTTTCACCTGGCTTGTCCTGTCGGTTTCCCGAGTGCACACAATGTCGTCGTTTACTGCTCCTTTGGACCTCGGCGATGTAACTCTCAAAGTCGTCACTGTCGTTAACAATTTCGTGAGATGGTATGCGACCAAACACCCGTCGCCGAGGCACTCAGCCGCACTTGACGACAAGACGAAATTCCTCCTTGTCGTACGGCAACCTCAACCGCGCCACGAGCGTAGTTTCATCCCCCTCTTTCCTCCCCGCGATCCCCCTTTCCCACCCTCCGCGC